TCACCAAACCGGTTTCCATATTGCGACCGAGCCTTGAGCAACTTGGAGTCGGAAAGCGGGCGATCGTGTTCGTACTGGCCAGGAACAGTGAGGTGAAGTTCAACTCCGGGTACCTTGCTCAATCCTTGGATCAGCTCCTCACAACATAGTGTCCGTAATGAAGTCGCTGAATCGACGTTGGTAATATCGAGAAGGCGATAGTTCCAGCCGTCTGGTGTGACAAAAGCAAACTTTCGGTCTTCCTTGCCGTGAGTGCGGCCACGACCAGCAGCACGGTTGTCGGAATCCGTCTGTGCAGAACGTCTTGATGGAGGGCGTTCGTTCAGAGATGTCTCACTCGAGTTCATAGTCGACTTTCCAAAAAGAGACCCGCTGGGGTGAGTGCGATGGCTGGCTGGACTGGTCGGGGAATCTAGACTAGTATCGTCAGACGGATGGCTATCCTTCTTTCTTCCGCCCATGATCTTCTTGAAGAAGCCCTTTTCGTGATCTTTGGCGCTAGTCGGAATATCCATGAGAGCCGCGTTGGGTCGCGTGCCTTCCCACCCATTCTTCCGATTTTCACTGCGACTTTCCGAGCGGCCCTCAAAAGATCTGCCAGAAGGCGGCCCTGAACCAGTATTGGCAAAAGTAGAATTGATCGACTCAGCACTGTTGACGCGGTTGTGGGGCGAGTAGTAACGGGAGCCTTGGGTGGTCAGGCCCGCGCTAAGCTGTCCGCCGTTTGTAGCAAGGCGAGCGGATGGGAGACCTGGACTGTGCTGCGGGCTTGACTGACGGTGTGTTCCAGCGCCCAGTGACGATGGTCCGAATTCCGAGGACGTATTTGGGCTGTGTCGTACCTGCTTGACGTCGAGACCTTGGAGAACCTCACGTGAATAGGGACTGCGCGCAGGTCCTTCTGAAAAGTCTGGTGTGGGCCCGAGGCCGGGGACGGTGAAGTTGCGCTGCTGTGTGGAAATGCGCCTGGACGGATTTATACTCGCGCCAGGTGAATGCACAAGTAGTTGGCGACCGGGGCTCTCTTCGCCATTGCCTGCAGTTGTTGGCGTTGAACCAAAGTCCATGCCGCGGGATCCAAGATAGGGCGAGTTCTCCAGAGTGCCTTCTGTGCCTGCGCTCGTCATGCCCGTGTCAGACCGTTGGGGCGGAGGCCGATATGAACTGGAAGCGCCAGATTCCACAATGCCACGAACGAGTCTGCGGAGCTTGCGACCTTCATCACGCTCCCTGTTCTGATCCCACCCGGTGCCGCTTGCAGTGCACTGCTTGGCTAGCTGGGGAAAGATGACTTGGTGCATCATGGCCACATTTCCCTTGCTTCCGTGACCACGGCCAATGTCGAGAAACTTGGATCCTTCCAGGCCCAGGGTCCTAAACGTCTCTTGCCAGTCACGGGAAAAGTTGTTGCTTGCTAGCCACTGCTGAACGCGCTCGGCGGGCCATTGCATGGAGGCATCGTGGGGGGATATTGGCGTAGTGCCGTTGCTCTCTGGACGATAGTAGACGCTGCCATGGCTTTGAACCATGGGGTTCTGCAGGGTGGCTGTTGGGGGGCCGGGTGAGTCGTAGGCGTTTGTTCTGTCGGTAGGTATGTTGAGGTTATTGCGGACATTGGGGGTCAGGGGCATGTTGTAGCCATTAGTTCCATACTGGACGCTCTGGACGCTATCGAGGAGGCTGTTGGAAAAGGGCTGGGGCGGGGCGTCGTTGGTGGCCGAGTGGGAGTCGTCTCTGTAGTAGGGCTCTGAGTAGCCTCTGGAGGTGTGCAGCGGGGGGATGCCAACGCCGGGTCCAAACGACTCGCCGCCGGGGATGTAGGTGGCCGAGGTCAGAGGAGGCTCGCGCTCGACGGGAATCTGCTGGGGCGGGGGGCCTGGGGGAGGGGGTAGGTTGTGGGGGTAGATGCGGTACTGGCCTGGATCGTAGCCCGTCTGCTGGTACTGGGGCCGTGGAGGTCCCCAGTTTGTCGAGTGCGGGGGAGGAGGAATGGGGATGCCGCCCAGGTTATTGTAGCCCGTTGGCCGTGGCGGCGGCGGAGGCAGCGCAATGTGGCCGGCGGGTGTGCTCGAGGGCTGGGGCGGCGGGGGAGGAATGTACTGATGCATGGCGACGGGACCCTGGCGGTGATGGGCAGATCAGCGGCGGTATGCGCCCCTGCGCGCGCGCGCTGGCGGACGGGCTCTCTCTCTCTCTCTCTATTTTGCAGAGGAGAGGAGCACACGATGTGTAGCCAGCAGCAGCGACGACGACGAGGGTGAGGGCGACAGCGAGGGTGGTGGCCGTAGTGGTGGTCGTGGTGGTGAGGAATGTCGTAGGCCGAGGCTGGCTAGTCCCCCAATGGCGTGGTAGGCGTGGGCGGGGAGGGTTTCAGGCGGCGTGCAGGTTGAAGAGTGAGGTGAAGAGGTCGTTGGGCGGGATTGGCTGGCAGGCCTGGGTTGGCATGTCTCGAGGGCAGCAAACAGAGGGAGAGCAGTGGTGGGCGGGATGCGGGCGAGGGCCTGTCACATCATGACATGCCGCTGCCAGGTGTAACGAAGTCGCTCGCCTTGGTTTGGGCTGCTGAGTCGGCGACGGGGCGTGGGTTTCGCACGCTCCTTTGTCGGTACCTTTTCTCAAGTATGCTGTCGATCCACGACGCGCGAGTGGGTCCGCCGCAGCTAGTCGCCTGCTTGCTGCAATGCAATACGCTGTACGGAATCGTCGCGGGTATCTTGTGTACATTCATACATACATGCACACATGCACACAGACAGATAGACTCACGGGCGGGCGGGCGGGCGGGAAGGCGGAAAGGCGAGGCGAAGGGGGGGAGATGCAGCACAGGATGCAGTATGTTGGAGTATGTTGGAGGAGTAGGGATGGTGGGCGTCGTCCACAGGCGCGAGGAAGGAATGACCCTGTGTGTGCTTGGCCGTCGCAACAAAGACGGGACGGCCGAATTGGAGGCTGCAGGGACGCGACGACAATGGGGCGCGCACGACGGGCAGCGTAAGATGAAGCCAGAGCAGAGCAGAGCAGAGCAGCACAGGATGAGGGGCAGACGACGAGAGGAGGCCCGTCTGCCCGTCCAGTCCAGCCGCCGTGGGTGAGCAGGACGGCGGCGCCGGGGGCACGGGGCATCCACGCTGCGCGCACGGATCACCAGTGAATCTCGGATCAGCATTTACCGCTAACCGCGTAGCCGGCCTGTCAGCCGTTGTGCCTTTGCTCATCCAGCATCCTACTAACCAACTACTACTACTGCTACTGCTATTGCTACTGCTACTGCTACTACACCTTGGCGGCTTCTGAACATGGCCTTCGTCAGCTCGCCAATCCCATGCGTGTACTATGCCTGCACATACACACATAGCCGACATGCCTACTGTATCCTCTCCACCTCTTCACCAAGTACACACCTACTTACACGTCCCTGTTTCACATCACGCGAGCACGTGGCGGTGCAACGCCTCCACCAGCCGCAATGGAGGGCATAGGGCTCAAGTGCGTCACGGAGATGACATGTGGGAACGCACTTGCACTTGCTTCCTTCTACCATGACCATTGTCCAGATACGTAGGTGTTCTGGTACGGCCTTGTCTAGTTTGCTATTGCTGCATGCACATCCACATCGGAGCCGCCGAACAACGTTGCAGCGACCACTTTTTTCTCGTATCGGGTGAACACGACAATGTCCCTCCGCACCTGCTCTGGCCTATCCTCGTCTCTCTACCCGTCAACATGTAATTTACCCCTTCACCGCGCCAGCTGCTCTCTTCGCATCCACCCCGGCCTGCCTAGGTGTAGGCGGCTTGGGGGGGGGGGTTCGGCAAATGCCATCGTCATTGTACCGCATGAGACGCAACAAGTCCACAATCATTCGGAAGCCCACGCTCGGCTGCAAGCCCACGAGACCGTGCCATCGACTTGAAAACCCTCAACTTGCTACTTCACCGCAACTTGTTTCTTGCCATGGCACTTCCAGCCAGCTGTGCTCAAGATTAGCTTTGCAATCGTCTTGGCCCAATTGGGAATCCCAACACCCGGGTCCCGGCAGCCTTCTGCATTGGCCGAGTCTCCCAGCTACAAAGCTCAACTCTCGCATCCATATTCCAGGTTTGGCAAGCATCGGCACCTCTACGGCATGCTGGCGTTTAATCCGTCAGCTCCGACCCATCTATTCTTCAATCCCTCTTTCCGCGGAGAAGGCCTGAGCAATAACAAACATTCCATCTCCAACACATGTCATTGCGAAACAGCACCTCAGACAGGGTATGCTTTGGAAGTACTGCAACACTCGTATTGGTGCTTTTTAGGTCCCGCCCTCAACGATACTTAGTCAAAAGGCATGTCATCAGTATTCATGCGTTGCAGCGCCCTAGTACTCAACTCGCCACTGACGGCGTCGTCGTAATGTGTCAAGTCTACCCAGACCGTCGCTGCACTTGAGCCCCTTGTGTTATGTTTGTATAGGTGTAGAAAAAAATAAGCTTCTTTTTTTCCTTTTTTTTTCCTCCTGCAAAACGGACATGCAGTGATCGACAAGGCGACCACATGTGTATGGCCCGATCCGAGCTGTCGGCCAACCTAAGAGCTGGTATGATCTCACATGGCGTCACTCTGAGTGCTTCCTTGATTCACTCACACACAACCTGCTGCAATAGCAATGAAAGACGTACACAGCAATAAACTGCACGCACTGAGATACACCTAGGTGGCTAAGTTAAAGACTCGGGATTATGTCGGATCTACGAGAGAGCCTGGTACTGACTAGATCTAACATAGGCATATGATCCCTTATCTTATCGATCTCAACAAGCCCTCAAACCAATTAACTAATCCCGAATACTTACACAATGTCGAGTGTTCAAATGACGTATTACTTGTAAATTGATTCTTTTCTTCTTCTTTTACTTATTAGCAATCAAGCCAACAGCTATCCCAATAAAACAACCAACAAACCCCAACCCTATTTTTTTTCTGCCTTTGGGGAAAAAAAGATTAGTCTTGCTACTACCATGGGCCAAGCAAAGCCGCATAAGCCCATTGTTTTGAACGCCAACGACATCACCAGCACGGCTTCGGAGCGCTTCCCAGACCCCAGTGCTGGCGGCGACGTTTCATGGCGAACATTAATCTCCGCACCAAAGACGCGCTCAAACTCCTTTACCGTGGGCATTGCTACATGCGCTCCGGGCGTCTCGGCCGGGTGCCAAGGCCACCTTAAGCCCCACCGTCATAAACAAGCCGAGCTGTATCACTTCACCTCTGGTAAGGGCATCGTGACGATTGATGGGGTCGAGTACCAAGTAAGCAAAGGGAGCGTGGTGTGGATACCCGGTGATGCCGAGCATGGGGTTCGGAATTTAGGAGGAAGAGGAAGAGGAGGAGAGGATTTGGTATGGTTGTATGCGTTTGCTACCGATGCGTTCGAGGATGTTGTGTATCGGTTCAGTGAGGGTGGTAAAGAAGCAGCAGCAGCAGCAAACATAAAAGCGAAATTGTAACCCGGCGGGCGCTGGCAGGAGCAAATGGGTAATATACTTGCTTATGTGAGATTGCGGTCGCAGCAAGATATAGTTAGGAATTCTCATATATATATATATATATATGGTAAAGGATCAGTTGAGTAGTATGTATGTATGTAGCGCAAGACGGTTGAATATGAGCTAAGATAAGGCACCCACGTCGAATAGTACCAACACAAGCTAACCTATATTGTGGATGAAGTAGACATGTCATGTACTTATGTGCGACAGTGCCAAGCCATGTTCGACATACTACTCATCCATAACACTGCATGAGCCCACCTCGAGAATCTCACACCAGCCCACGAGCACACTTGTAGTTTACGTGCCATTCGAGATTGAGGGAATAGAAAACCAGCAGCAAGGTGATTACTTCGCGGTACCTTCTGACCCTTGTCAGTCGAAGCAAAATACGCATCAAGAAAATATACACTCAGCGTTGCCATGGATGACGGAGGCTACTACACACAGCTCCACCAGCATTTTCTTTGGCTTATCAAGACATATCGTTTGACGGTCAAACTTGGTTCCAGTGAACATATATTTCCTACGTATATGTTTTCCCGATTATTAGAAGCCTGTGCAAAAAAGCGACAGAGATGAGAAAAACGAAATCTCCTTCAGACGAAAAATCTAACCTCCCTTCTTTCCAATGGGAGCCTGGACATCTCCAGTCACCTCGATATACTTGCCTGGGTCACTGGGATCGCGCTGCGAAACTTCTTCTCCAATAGCTGGCATAGAGCGTAGACGGCCTGCTACAGGTCTAGAATTATTCAGATTAGCTTCCGGTCCAAAGAATATTGGGAGAGAAAACTTACGCCTTGTACTGCGCGGTAAATAAGAGGTCGCCGTTGCGATTGAAGACCGGGTCCTTGAGGTTGAATTCACCAGCGCAAGGGTGGGTGAATTTGCCAGTTGCCTCGAGGGCATCGTTGATTGCTTTGCAAATGGAGTTCTTCTCCTTCAACATCTCAGGGATTTGATGTTCGAGTTTGTTGACGAATTCTCTGCTGTTCGTTTTGTCGTTCGGCACGCCTTGCTCATCATGGTAGGGGAAGACAAAGGCGTGTTGATTCTCAAAACTCGTTTTCATGCCGTCGGCACTGGTCGAAGAAAGGACAATATCGACCTGCCAGAAAGCCTGGACGAAGAGACTAAAGTGTTCATGTGTCAGTCATTGGCAGAAGATGGTTAGATGGCGCCTCTGGCGTTCTGGTTGACCTTACTTTCCAACATATTTCAGATTGCTCTCGACCAAGCGAGTGTAATATCCATCATATTGCACTTTGGCTTCAGTGAAACCACGAATCTTGATTCTACCTTGGCCTGGAATTGGCACAACATCCACTGCACTGTAACCTGAAAGAGAAAATGCGTTAGCAGGAGGGGTTGGTCGCATCAAGACAAGACTTACTCATGTTTCGACCGGACAAATGGTCTGACCAGTTGCAAAAGTCTTGTGGGAAGTGCCAATCTTGGTTGCTTGACTTTGTTCCGGTGTCGCAACTCTTTGACCAAGACCACGACACTCCGTCCGCACGGGAAACGGCATCAAAACCTTTGTTGACGGCGTCTTGGAAATGATCACGAGTATTGACATTGTTCAGATTCATCCCCTAAAGCAGGTTAGCCAAAATTGTCCTTCATCACGGAATGAAAACATACCTGAGCATTCTGCGTAAAGTCGTAGTATGGATCGGTCCACTGGTAAGATCCATGACGTCCTAGAGCGGAGGAGTACGTCCAGTGGAAACGACGCTGACCAGCAGGGCCATCTCGTGAGATTTCCACTGCGAGGCGTTGGATTAGCCTTTTTTCGGTCATGCAATGAACCTTTTCTAGCTACTCACTGGTTTCCGCGACGATTTGCAAGTCGTCATTATACTGTCGAAGCATGGGGATGACGAACTTGTCTAGAAACAAGCCTTTCCGAATGATTGCAGTTCCGTCGATTCGCTTCTCCTTGTCAGGGTTGATGGTGGTAAAGTTCCCGCTCCATGCCAATGTCCTTTCTCCTTGCACTGCGCGATTCTCGGTCATATTGCAGTAAGTCACACAGTTTCTTGCTGCATCACCAGTCCAGCCAAGTTTTGGGTCAGCTCCAGGATCAGATTTGTAGGGGTACGTCTGTAGATTAACCCAAGTTGGCATCAGGACATCTGCAACTTTGTAGTTGCTAGCTTTGGCTGGATCTATGGCCAAGCCATAGCCCAACGTAGTGCTTGAAGATTCTTTGTTGGTAGTGAGCCCTAATCATGGTTAGCTCTCTTCAGACAGATGCAAATGGAAGGAAAGCCAACATTGATGAAGCATGGATGCAAATGCCGTAATTTGATTTGCGTCCATGCCAGGCATACGGAGCTCAGATTCAGGCAGAGAACTAATGTCGGCGGCTTGAGATATGTTAGCACGGAACATATGGTCAACAGCCTAACATACTAGTGAAATCCAAAAAGAGGCGTTGGATAGAGAAGTCGCCAGCTTGCTTTCCGAAAGACTCGATCGTCTTTTTGACTTTGTCCAACTTTGCCTGGAGTTCTTGAGTCTCTTCTGGTGTATTGCGGCCTAAACGCAGGTTAGATATACGAAGTATTAAGAGACATAGTTATTGACTGACTGTCTCGTAGTTGAGTCTCGTAACGAGTGACCTCATTGTGCAAGCTGTCGAGAGCTAAAATTACGTCAGCAATCTCCTAGGCGGAATGAATCATTGTGACGGACCAATATCAACCTTGAAAGCGATCTGAAAGCCCTTTAGGTTTTTCTTCTCTTTCTTTTTAGTAGCCTTGTTGAATACTGCGGTTGTGCCTTCGGTGAAAGTCAATCGAAACAGAACAGATCCACGTCCCGCTCCTGCAGCGATGACTTGGACATCAGGGGCGCCAATCTTGCCATTGATGTTACCGATGATACCAACAGTCTCGCCATCGAACTCGATGCTGTCCATGTTGTCACCATCAAGATCCCACATGGCACTCAAACCCGAATTGACACTGTCCTGGGACATGGCCAGGAGCAAGTCATATTGGCCTGTGCTGGTTGAAGTAGTTCGCGTCTCTGCCATCGTGAGTGGACTCGAGGAAGCAACAAGGTCTCGATTGTATTTTGAAGAATGATTTCTCAAGTGACTTTAGATCAAGGTCGGACTCGAAGTTCTTATACCCATCGACTCCGTCCAGACCTAACATCCGAAGTCAGCTTTGACATGCAGCAGACGAGACTTGACTTGGGGGCAGTGGAAGACTCTCAACTCGCTGGCTCATGGCTATCGACGGACTAGTAGATAGAACTCGGCTAGTGTCTGGCTCAGCTTTCGGATGCTGCTGAGGGATTATTGATTGTGATGCAGGCTGAAGCGAATATGCTGGGGACGACGGTCTGTAGTCGGCCCAGACCAGCTATGGCTGATCATTAAACAGAACATAGCCTCTATCTTGTGGTCCATTGTGCAAGCGATAGGTGACTTTGCATCATATGATCTGGAGGAGTGTACGGCCTCCCCGTAAGACTGAGAAAAGACGGCAGAGATTATGCAGGAACTTGGAGCGGCGAGTAGTAATTGGTCCATTTAGGTGAAGCTAGGAACCGGTCGTACAGCCAAACTCGTAAACTCAGCTCTCCAGTTCACGGAACTATACGAGGAAGCCAGAAACAGAAGCATGGGGAAGTGGGGAGTAAGGTTGCAGGACCAATCAGGCCTGTAGCCGCCCTATGGTGGGTGCAAGCAGGGCCAAGCGATCACAAGCCACATCGGCTCGGCCGCCCGCCCGTCTTTTTCTCCGCCCTTGCATAGTCTACAGGGATCTACACCAATGACGGGTGAGTCGACCACAGCCAAACACAAGTTCAGCCCTACTAGGCAATCATGGCTTTTTTCGCCTTGCATATGGTAATTCCTAATATCAGTATCGGGTTAGAGCCAAGCTTTGTGACGTTCTAGATTCAACCGCCGTCGTCAGCCTTGACCAGACTCGGACTTGCTAACAATCAAGGTCAAATACGCAAGCCTCGGTCAAGCCTCAATCAAGCCGCTATCGATAAGCGATTGGACTACTTTCTGGGACGTGTCCTCGTGCACGGAAATCGCTCCGCTATGTTTGCCACTATCCATAACAATCAAGCCGACTTGACTTGATTGCCGGTTGGCAAGTCTGGCCTTGACATGATATTGAAGGCTACTAAGTAATGAGCTGAAAACCGACGCCGGACAGGCCATAGAGCTAACTGGACTCGAACCGATATCTTCCCAAGACAGATTCAGACTGTTTTGCCGAATTGAGCACAGCCTGCATCGCAATCACCATCATCATGCCTCCTATATGAACCCCCAACCCGTCTACACTTGGGACTAGGGAATTATGCCTTCGCTGCCCACTTGTCCAAGATACCCAAAGATAATCTTCTTCATTCCACCATGCCTTCCTCTGCTGTCATCACCTCCGACGCGGAGTTGATGTGGAATGTCCTCCCAGCAGTTGCACTCCCATCCCACTCCAAATTCTTGACCGCACGTGATAGGAATGGCCAACCAATGGTGTTTGGTGTCGGCACCGATTCCATTCTTCGTGTCGCTCAAGAGAGCCCAAAGGACCGCCTCCGTCAGCTAGTTGATCTCCACAAGAAACTAAATCTGCCGGCTGATGCTCTCGTCGATGGCTTTGATTTGTATCAAGCCAATGATGACACCATCTATCTCGCTGTCACATATCACACCAAAGACGAGGCAAGACTGGCGGCTGCACAACCTTTCCTCCCGGCAGATGTGGATTTCACTGATGACACGACCACCCTACCTTACTACAGAAGTCTACGATTAGACGACATGAAAGTCAAAGACTTGTTGCTGGTAAGGTCAATGCAACAATCCATCTTCAGCTGTTGACAATCACAAGGGAAATTTCATTGGCGTGGAGCAGTTTCCTCCTATAATCTTGAATTACACAAATGCTGCAACGCGGTCCGATAATGTCAAGCATTACGAGATCGTTGCCGACCAAGTCACAAATGAAGGAGACTTGAGTCTACCCCTCAACGCCTCGTCCATCATCGGTATGGTAGTTGGCAAGATCAAGCGTCACACAGGAGTCTTCGTTCTCTTTACTCAGAAAGAGCAACGCGTGTTGATGTTCAGCTCTTGGACCACCCAATTTGACAGTACCTTGGTCTGCCCACCAAGTGAGTCCTGACCGTTATCTGCCGAAACAACGTCATATACTTATATAAATTACAGATGCGGGCTATGTCGCAGCGCTCCCGAATAGCAAGGGCAACAGTGATCTCATCGTCGGTGGCGATGGAATCTGGCACTTTACTTCCCAGTCCATGTTAGCTAGAGATGCTCAAGGCCATGCCATCTGCCAGGGCCCTGAGTTTCTAGGTATCAACGACATGCACATTGCAATGACCGCAACCAAAGCCAGCATATGGGCAACCACGGGAGAGAGTGGTGTCTCTTACGTGGAGATTGACGCTTCCAAGCTAGACGGAAACGCCCACCCGGCGGCCGCGAATGGCGTACCGCTCCTTCCCAGCGGTCAAGGCGGTGGCATTGCAGGGTACCTCGGACCCCATGGATCAAATGCCGTCTTTGTTTCCGACAAAAAGAACCAAATGTCTTACTTTGAGCAGGCTGTTGACACCAAATTGTGGAAGCAGACACCGTTCTGGTTCCCCAGCCTTGAAAAGACACTTCAGATTCACTGCTACATGACACGTATCGTCGCCCATGATGAGAATGGAGGCATTCTGCCAAAGTGCTGGGTCAAGCTCACCAGCACCGGTACTGTCAATGTAGTTGCCAATGGCTTGCCCGTCACTCTCGATGCCAGCCCATTTGACATTCAGGCTGACGAGGAAGGGGCCGTCAGTATCATTAACCCAACTAACGACATATCAACATACCAATTCAAGGTGGTCGAGGTCTTCGATGCTGATAACAAGACCAAAATCCCGCTTGCACAGACAGGATCAATAAACCCGGCAGCGAAACTGGAGCTTTCGCTAAGCAACATGTCCGTCGATCGCCTGTCTACCGCCACCACCGCTAACGGCGAGTCTGTGTTTGATAACAAGGACAAAGCAAGCTTTGAGACGGCAGTGGCGGCCTTGAAAGAATTTGACACCGCAAGAGCGGAACTGGAGAAGACGGCCACTGCACGAATAGCCAATGTGCAACTGGGAGGCATTTCAAAGCCGACACTGGCGGTCAGTTCGGCTGCGGATGGCAGCGTTCTTGGAAAAATCAAAGATACCTTCTGGGACGCGTGGCATTTTATTGTCTCAAGCTGGGACAAGGTCAAGGCATGGGCTATTGAGGTCTACAGTAAGGCAATGCGAGATTGAAAGTTGAAGCGCTACTAATTGTTGTACAGATGAAGTCAAAGCGTTCGTCATCAAGATTGGCGAACAGAGCTATCGCTTTATTCTCAAGACAGCTACGCAGATTGCAAAGGCGGCTAACTTTATCTACACCAAGTACCTCAAGGCGCCGTTTGAGCGTTTCGTCAGATGGGTCTCAGACTTCTTCTCTTGGAGTGATATCGTCGAGGTAAAGAACAATATCGTTGACTTTGTCAATGCCACGTAAGTTCAATCACCGAAGCTTTCCGAACTATTGCCTGATAGACTTTAGTCTTGATTATGGATCATCGAACCTCGATTGGGCTGCTAACAAGGTCGATTCCAAGTTTGATGGATGGAAGGCTATTGTAAAACAGAGCCTCGCTCCAGGAAATATTCCGGACAAAGTGGGGAAGAAGAGCGCGGGACCAAAGGCACAAAAAGACGTTCCCAAGGACGCAAGCGATAAGATGAAGCAAGCCGACGTCAAGCAGAACTGGACAAAGTACCAGCTCACTCACGGTGGTGCCCTCCGAGGCTCTTCAATTGGTAAGAAGACTTTGTGCGAAATGCGAAACATGACTGACCGATGAGCAGAGGGAGCTATTGGATCCAATTTCGTCAAACAATATCAGGACACTTGGGACACCGTTGTCAAGCCCATGTTCGACTCCCTTTCCGACAGCGTCGAGACCATCATGCACGACGTATCTCTCCTCTTCAAGCAGAACTCGGACATCACACCGGCCGAGATCCTGCAGAAACTCGGTGTTGACGTCGTAATTAGCATTCTCGATGCCGTCAAGACGCTCCTCGTCGGTCTGCTCAAGCGCTTGGCGCACGTAGTCGACGACTTCAAGGCGCTTGTTAACAAGAAGATCAAGATTCCCATTTTTAGCGACCTCTGGGTGCTTGCCAACAAGGTATTCAACAAGGACGTCGAGGCACCTACCTTTACCGTAATCGGTTTCATTGGCTTCGTGCTGGCTATCCCATTGACGCTCACTTGCAAACTTTTCACTGGAGGCAAGAAGCCGCCAGCGCCAAAGTTCAATGTCAAGACATTGAGCGCATTCTTTGACAACTCTGCGCCAGAGAGCGACAAGAAGTCATACAACGGCTTTGCCGCAATGCTAGAGACGGGAGCCGCTTCAATGCTCGCTATAGTCGGGCTTGCAAGCACAGTGGGTCTTGGCGGGGCGCTGGCGGCGATATTCGACTTTCAACTCCTGTTCGGCTTAATACGAGTGGCTGTTTGCATCCCGACGAATAAAAATCTCCCGCTATGGGAAGTCCGCTGTGCTGTACGTTTCCTCAATCTTTGACCTCTGACCAGAGATGATGCTGATAAACCCATAGGTATCTGCTGCTGATGCAGTCAACGTCTTTATCCTAGCCATTGCACGCAAGGTCGACAAAGGCGGCAAGGGCGAACAGGTGCTTGCTGTCATTGAAGGTTCCATTGCTCTGCTAAACATTGGCTTGCATACTGCAGTCAACGTAGCGGAGCTCACAGAGGAATGGCAGGGCAAAGACGAGGAGAGAACTGGTTATCAGATTCTCATCAGTGTCCTGGGCGGTGTGTCGACTATTGGTAAGAATGTTTCAACCATTAGCATGGAACCGAATACCAAGTTGGCTGGCGTTGTGGCAAAGCAGGTTGCTGGCAAAGCTGCGGGCTTCTTCAATGTTGTCAATACGTATAGCAACATTGGGAAGGGGAAGTACACCTATATTCTGAACTCAGGAAGCTAGGAGGCTTAGATACAGGAAAGAAATCGAGGTCGGGAGTTTCTAGTTTGTATTTCGAGTAGTCGTTCTCTTTGGTTGGTTGGTTGCTTATACTACTACTGTTGCCGGCAAAGCTTGTCGCTACTAAGTAGGTGCCCGCCGTAGCCAAGGCCAGCGGGCATGCAGAAGATTCCCAACACACCAAGCTGTATCGTGATGAAGTAGACATGTCGTAAGACAATATCGCCATGCTTTTTCGCGCAGTCGGCGTTTATCTCTCCAGTCAGGCGACGTGCACAGAGCTTGCCGCTTGTGGCTATGCGCTCCCCAAGCGACTGCAACTGCACGCATCTGGCCATGCGACTCCCACGCACAAAGTCTCGTCTCACGCCATCTGAGCTGACAAACAGCGCGTAGTCTGCACGTCGCGTTACCGTAGTGGTGCGGTATTCGCATACCCACCCAATGCATTCGCACCATAGGCCCAACAAACCGTGGCCGGCAAGGACCGGACATGACCTCATGGCTCCAGCGACTACCGTTTGCAAACCCTTTAAAAGTAGCCGCACCCAACGACTCACTACTTACACCATCTTCCCCCAAAACTAATCCTCTAGCCAAAAGCTTCGTCCCAATTGACATCTTGGCAATCATGGCTCAAGATCTGCGCTCTCAGGAAATCAAGAATCCCATTGACGTGGCTGAGGTGAGTGCAACATCATCGTATGACATTGGCCCTAGCTAATTCGGCAACATGCAGTACCTCTTCCGACGCCTGAAGCAGGTTGGCGTCGAATCAATCCACGGCGTCCCTGGCGACTACAACCTTGTCGCTCTCGACTACATTCCAAAGGTCGGCTTGAAATGGGTCGGCAACTGCAATGAGCTGAATGCTGGATATGCCGCCGATGGCTACGCCCGAGTAAAAGGCATTTCCGCACTTGTGACGACATTCGGCGTGGGGGAGCTCTCCGCTGTCAATGCAATTGCTGGTGCTTACTCTGAATATGTGCCAATTGTACACATTGTTGGCTACCCATCCACCGTCTCGCAAAAGAATGGCGCTCTCCTTCACCACACGCTCGGAAACGGCGACTTTACCGTCTTCTCGCGCATGTCAAAGGAAATCTCATGCGCCGTTTCCATGCTCAACCACCAGCACGAGACTGCCATGCTGATTGACGATGCCATCCGCGAGTGCTATCTCAAATCAAGGCCAGTCTACATCTCGCTGCCCAGCGACATGGTAACGAAGAAGGTCGACGGTGACAGACTCAACACGCCTCTTGACTTGGAATACCCGCCCAACGACCAGGAAGCCGAAGACTACGTAGTTGATGTAGTCCTCAAGTCTCTCCATGCCGCAAAGAACCCCGTCATTCTGGTCGATGCATGTGCAATCCGCCATCGTGCCCTCAAGGAGACCCACGAACTGGTCAAGAAGTCCGGAATCCCAACCTTTGTCGCCCCAATGGGCAAGGGCGCAGTAGATGAGACGCTTCCAAACTACGGTGGTGTATATGCCGGAGACGGATCCAACGCCGGTGTCCGCGAACGTGTCGAGTCGTCCGACCTGGTCCTCAGCATTGGCGCCATCAAATCCGACTTCAACACTGCCGGCTTCACAATCCGCATGTCGCAACTCACAACGATTGACCTGCACAGCTACGGCTGCAAAGTGCGCTACTCCGAGTACCCCAACGTACGCATGAACGGCGTCTTGTCCAAGGTAACCGCCAAACTTGGACAACTCAACATCGAATCCGGCCCCAAACCCAACAACGACGTGCCCCACGCCGAAACAACCTCTTCAGACGACAAAATCAAACACGCCTGGTTCTGGCCCAAACTCGGCCAATGGCTCAAGCCAAACGACATCCTCATCACCGAAACCGGAACCTCCAACTTTGGCATCTGGGAAACGCGCTTCCCCGCGGACGTAAAAGCCATTTCCCAAGTCCTCTGGGGCTCAATCGGATACGCCACAGGCTCCTGCCAGGGCGCCGTACTCGCAGCCCGAGAATCAAACATCAAGCGCACCATCCTCTTCACGGGCGACGGTTCCTTCCAGCTTACCGCGCAGGAAGTCTCGACTATGATTCGCAACAAGCTTGCTCCCATCATCTTCGTCATCTGCAACAAGGGGTATACAATTGAGCGCCTGATTCACGGCTGGGAAGACGCGTATAATGATGTCCAGGAGTGGAAGTACAAGGATATTCCTGGGGTATTTGGTGCGGCTGAGGGAAGCGTACTGACGTATCGGGTTGAAACGAGGGAGGAGGTGGAGAAGTTATTTGCGGATGAGGAGTTTTCGAGTGGAGAGACGGATAAGATGAGGTTCGTCGAGTTGGTTATGCCGTGGGATGATGCGCCTGCTGCACTTAAGGCTGTTGCTGCTGCGGCGGCGAAGACGAATGCTGCGTAGACTTTCCTTTTTCTCTTTTCTCTCTGATAGAAATGGGGGGGCATGTTTGGACGGGTAACGATGTCGACGATTTCTCTCTTCTCTTTCTTTCTTTCTTTTTTCTTTCTTTACATGTAGATTAATTAATGAATTCAATTACACTCCATACCAACATGTCCTATATACCCTCTTCCCCCTCCCTCACTACCTCGTCTACCTACACCATCCCAACCGCAACCGCCAACGCACCCGCAACGCCCATCCACCCCAATACCACCTTCCCCCCCTCATTACTCTCCGGCCCCGTATACCCCCCCGTCTGACTCGGCCTCGCCCCCGACCCCGTCCCCGTCGGTCCCGCAACCCCCGTCAAATTCTGCACCCTCAACCACCCACTCGCAACCACACCCCCCAACCCCGCCTCTCCGACAAACTGCCTTACATCAAACCCGACCCTCATCCCCGCCAACTCTGCATACCGCGCCGGCACCTGAAATCCCGCCGGCTGCTCGAACAAAACAAAATTATACGCGTGCGGTATATCGCCCACGGGAGGCGAGGGTTGCAAGTAGGGCACTGGGTTGGGGGAGGGGATGATGAGGGAGGAGGATGGCGAAGAGAGGGAGATGTTGGGGGCGAGCCAGTGGATTAGGGGCACGCGGGTCGAGTTTCGGGGGACGTCAATGTCGATCATTAGGAGGATGTAGAGGTTCGAATTTGAGGCGGGGGTGAGTTTCGGGGCCGAGAGGGAAGGGGGCTGGGCGGTTACTTTTGGCAAATGTTAGTTTTGACGCGTTTTTCTTTTATAGAGGGGGGGGGGGGAAGGGTGGTTAATACCGGGACGAGGGAGGAGCTCGCCCTGAGGAGAAACGGTGTCGTTGTTGTTGTAGGTTATGGTTAGGTTTGTTGGACCGCCCGGGAGAGGAAAGGCTGGGGCTACATCCGCGGCTGTGGTGGAGAGCAGCAGTGCTGCTGCGCTGAGGAACGTCGTCTTCATGATTGCTTGTCTTTTGCTTTCTCTTGTTTATGCTTAAGGAGAGAAAGGAATTGCGCAAACAGGACGCGTCGTCGAGAAAAGGACAGCCACCGGTATATGTAACATTTAGAGTTACAGATGGTTCCCGCGTTTTGATTGGATCTGCCGGGTGTTCCTGGTACATGACGTCTTCGAGGTGTGATGATCGCTTGTCACTTGCAGCACGAACCAGTACCGAACCAGGCCTTACGCCGCTCGAGAAGTAATTATCGCTCTCCCAGCCGCGTTTTTTCGTAGAGCAACATGGGTGTTGCAATATCGCTGCTGTTAGCTCGAATCGTCATGTAAACTATTCTCTCGACATCTAATGTGCGCATGACTGCATTTCGGTCTAGCTCTATTTCTAAGAGGCTTTTTTTGTCACCATGTTTTCTTTGCCAAGAGTGTTTTTATTTTTTTCCGCGTTGTCAATAACATCCCAACCTACGCCCTGGTAATCATGTGTTCTCGCGCAGGTCCGACACCAATCCATTTTACCTTGACACCCACAAAGTTTTGGATGTACTCGACATAACTCCTCGCCTGGTGGGGTAGGTCATACCAGTTGGTGACGCCCGTCGTCGGCTTTTGCCAGCCAGGTAGCGTCTCGTAGTGTACCTCGACTTCGGCAAGCATCTCGGGGTTGGCCGGGAAGCCATCAAGTGTCTGACCCTTGTACGAGTATGATGTTGCTACCTTGATTTCAGCAAAGTCATCAAGGACATCGAGCTTGGTCAGGTTGATGGCGGTGTAGTCATTGCAGGCGTGTGAGTGCTTGACTACGACAAGATCGAGCCAACCACAGCGACGCTTGCGGCCAGTTGTGACACCGACTTCGTGGCCGACTTGCTGGAGTTTCTCGCCAATCTCGTTTAGCTGCTCGGCGGGGAAGGGACCACTTCTCCAAGTCAGACGTCGCTCGTTTTTTGTTAGGGTATACAACTTACGATCCGACACGGGTGGTGTAGGCCTTGACCACGCCGATGACTTCAGTCAACGACCGCCATCCGAGATTAAGACCTGTGATAACACCTCCAAGACCAGTGTTTGACGATGTGACAAAGGGATATGTGCCGTAGTCAATGTCCAGCATCAGCGCGTTGGCACCTTCAACAAGGATTTTCGCGTTCTTGGCCTTTGCCGAAGCCAGGAGAGGGATCTGGTCGACGACATATGGAGCGAGTTTTTCGCGGAGGCCCTTTGATACAGCGTCAGCCATTCGTCATGTACACCGGCTACGCGACTACTCACCTTGTACCTGGCAATCTCCTCCTCGACATTGTACTTGAGCAGGTCGCCAAAGCGTCTCTGGAAGCCATTGGCCAACCTCCGGAGCTTTTCCTCGAAAATAGCCTCGTCGAACAAATCGCACATGCGCAGACCGCTCCTGGTCATCTTTGTGCTGTAAGTTGGGCCGATACCCTTCTTGGTTGTGCCTATGTCACGCCATCAGCACTGCGCAAAGGTGCAAACGTGGTCGCCGGATGCTCACCAATCATGCCGCCACCCAGCTCCACCTCCTCGAGGCCGTCGACCATCTGGTGCACGTCAAACACGACATGGGCGCGGTCCGAGATGAAGATGCGGCCATCGGTGTTCAGGCCGTGCTTCTCGAGTGCCTCGAGCTCCTTGAAGAAACTGGGGACGTGGACGACGCAGCCACTGCCAATGACATTGATACAGCCGGGGTTGACGAGGCCGCTGGGCAGAATGTGGAAGTCGTAGGTGATGCCGTTGGCGACAATGGTGTGGCCGGCGTTGTTACCGCCCTGGGCGCGGCAGCAGATTTGCGACTCGTGGGCGAGGATGTCGGCGAGCTTGCCCTTGCCTTCGTCGCCCCATTGGGCGCCGAGGACGACGGTGACGGTCATCGTGAGAAAGGGAGAACAAAGGACGGGCGAGGAGGCGACGGGGCGGCTGGTGGGTTTTCAATCTGCCCATGGAGAAGCCGACTTGGCCGGGTTGCGGGTTACTAGTTAGTCACATAGGCCAACAAAAATATTTGCTGCGTGCCGTTGAATCATTGCGAGCAAGCTGCCCAAGCATTTGCTAACCCAGGGATTGTTACGGGCGCGCCCAGCGTGGTCCGGCGGTATTGCTTGTTGCACTCTTCCAATCGACGCGCTGCCATATGTTTTGCCCGCAGACTCAATGGCTTTCTTGGGCCTCTTCACTTTTCCTCTTCGCTGCCCCGCCATGCCCCGCCATGCACGGCGCGATGCCGCCATTTTCCGCACAAGCCAATGACGCACTGGCAGCCCCCGCGTGATTTATCCATTTTCCATGTATGTCCTATGTAAGTATGCAGTAGATGTAGCATGACCAGAAAACATGACTTCAGCAATACGCTGTGGTTCGAGCACTTTGCATGAACAATTACCTCACACACATCCTGTCACGGAATCTGCACATGAATACAAGGGAAAAGGTTGAATATTCCCAGTCTGACGCCTATTCATGCCATTACGCTAACATTCGACTAAAGCGAAGAAAAAAAAATGAATAGACAGCGCGTTGAAGTCAGTCTTCCATAGTCAGTGCATCCAGATACACACTTAGTGCATGTATCGGAACTCCGGATGCCGATATCCCAGGTCCTTGATCTCTGCATCCGTCTTGCCTTGCAGACGATAATCCCTCTTGCCCATGTCGCGCTGCCTGTTCTCCCACTTGCAGTAGATGATACCGAAGATAGCGAGTACACACACGCAGATTTGGCCAGCGAGGTTGATGGTGTGGCCAGTCTCGTAGCGGGGCGCATCCTGACGTTTATATGTCCTGCAGTTTTTGCGTTAGTTTGAGTCAATCAAGCACGCAATGAGATTATGCAACATACCAAGTTGCCACGATACCACCGGCGGTACCAAGAGTAACAACATAAGCGGTAGACACGGATCTAACGGCAGGTCCAGCGGCGTTGTTTGCCGCCCATGCAAGGAATCCAGGACCTCCGGGGAAAGCGCCAATGGTGATGAGGAAGATACCACCATATCGAGTCGAAGGGTCAGTTGCCCAGCGCATAATGCAGAAGCCAGCAATTGCAGGAAGCGTGAAAACGGCCAGGTAAATTCCACGACGGTTCGTCTTGTCTGACACGAAGGCGATAGCAATAGCAATTACGCATGCACACACGTACGGAGGTACAGAGTACAGCTGTGCCTTTGTCGCAGTCCAGCCAAGATCGGCAAGGATAGTAGGCTAGTGCAATGTCAGCAAGTTATTCACGCTTAAGAACTCGCAAACTTACCATGAACAGCGAGATACCCTGCACGGTAATGTTGATGAAAAAGAAGCCCAGGGCGCAGAAATAATTGGTGATGTTCATCACAGCCCTCTTGATGTGGTGTGGCTGGGTCTTCTCGTTCTCGTCGCCTCCACCCCGCTGGATAAGTCGCCTCGAAGCAATCATTCGTTCACGCTCGTTCAAGAACCAGCAGTCTTCGGGACTACGGGGCATCATGAAGGGAGCAGCAAGACCAACGAGAATGGTGAAAAGTCCCTCGAAGAAGAAAATGTTTCGCCAGGTGTGGATGATCATGCCTGATGCGCCCCACGGAGGAATACGGGCAAGACTTGGCACATGTCAGTTCGCGTTTGAAATTTGATCGCAAAATGGATACACACCCAGTAGCAAGCAAACCGCCAAAGGCTCCAGCCATGGAGGCTGCTGACACGTAGATGCCGACACGGAAGAGAAGTTCATTACGCTTGTAGAAGCAAGTAATGAAGAATGCAAGACCACTGTAATGACTCAGCAAGTAAACTTTGAGAATGCGTATTGAGCAATACTTACGGCATTACACCACCTTCGAATATACCGAGGAACCCTCTCGCCACGAGCAAGCCCGCAAAGCTGTTGACAAAAGCAGTGCAGAGCGAGACAAAGCCGAATCCGCACACGAGAAGAGGAAGGTACCACTTGGGGCCGAGTTTCTTGAGAAGAAGGTTGCTGGGTACTTCTACAAACATGTAGACAATGTAGAAGATGGATGTGACCCAGTTGAATCGCACACCCGTGTTGAGATTTAGGTCCTTGCCCAAACCCTGGATACGCGCATTTCCAATGTTGATTCTGGTTGAAAAATTAGTAACTAATTCCTTCACTGCAGAGCGCGCGCGCTTCATACCTGTCGAGGAAACACAGCAAGTACAGAAACGTCGTGAGCGGTACAATGACGCGATCTAGTTTGTGTCGGACCTTGGCTTCTTCCTCAGGGGTCCAGGAAAATTCGCCCTCGGTAGACCTGTCGCTTCCATTGGCCTCGTCGTCTGGATGAATTTTGTTAGTACCTCCTCATCGTGTCAGGAACGAGCAGCCATACAAACAATGTCTTGCCCCTTTTCGATCTCGGCAGGGGAGCGTTCGTCCCCAGCACTGATTGGTTGCACCATCTTGTCGGAGGGGGCAGATATGGCAGCCAGTGGTCCAGTCAGAGGAATGAAAATTCTCAGTAATCGACTTGCTGTCGCCCCACACTATCCGAAAGTCTGGGGAAAAGAATCTGGGGAAGAGCACTGCCCATATAAGGTCGTACGACGGATCCTGTGGGCGACGGGCGTCTTAGTCCAAGAGGCGCTATGAGGCGTCGCACGGGAACAGGAAAAGGGTGCCGGCAGTTGCTTTGGTTTCTGCTCGCAGAGGGAGGGCAGGCAGAACATACTTAGCTTGAATCCTCTTGTCCCCTTTAAGCTGGCGGCAACGGGGCCCGGATGCGCCTCCAGCGGGGGAGGATTCAACCGAGTCGATACAACAACCCTATACCGGGCCGCACAGTCGCAAACCAACCTCTCTTTGGCTGACAGCTTGCGGGGCGACTCTTGGCCGACAGGGGCTGACTCGTGCAACTTGAGCCGATGGCGGGGAGGAATGGCGCTGTCCTTGGCGGAGCGGGACGACATTTTGTCGTCAATACTCTATGCTAGTAGTTGGTGGCGAACTCGGCAGTTGAGGTACCCAAGCCATTGACTGACGGCTACCATTGTCGCACGTGGTGCTGGCTGTGAAACCATGGTGTATCCTTGTGATCAAGTCAACGTTATTGGACCTGATGGGGAGCTGACATGCGCCGTTGCTAAGCAAACTGCGAAGTTTTGCATTTACCCACAGGCTCTTTAGCTTTAGACCATGTCCTAAGCGAGCCTTTCATTTCCAAGCCCTTCGACACTATCAGTAAGGACGTATCTATGTACGGATTTGTTCCACTTGCATGTCCCTGATTATGCAAGCTCATATATGTAAGTATCTTATTTAAAAAGACCCATAAGTATACCAACGTCTGGATATGAGTCGGTCCTACTTTTGCGCTTATCTTGCGGTACGAATGCATGTAAGCCTGCCTACCCTACGGAATATTCCCCAGATTGCCATCTGATGTCAGTGCAGTCAGATGTTCGGATGCAACCAATTTCACTAGCTCAACATGGGGCTGAATGCCGGATCGTCCACTGCTTGTCCTGGAGCCTCGTTGTCTCGGATGCGTCGAGGTAAAGTGAACAAGGCCAAAATTTCTTAGAGACCTGAAACAGCAGTTGCCAAGATATCACCGCCCCCTTGGGAAACTCGTATGCTGATCGCATGCATCATACCATTCTGCCTATCGCAGAGTATGCCCGTAATCACCAAAGCAAAATCCCCTGACACTCAACATTCTTGGCAAGAAAAAAACTACCCTGACACTCTGGAGTTTAAACCCAATATTCACTCACGAGCCCGGAAATTACAAAATCATAACTTGTGTGCACGTATACGAACGTCCGGAGACTCTCCGCAACAACAGCCATAGATTCTACGCTCCGCCTAGTAACGCCGTCTACAAAGGAGCGTCCAAGAAGCTTACACTCACAACACATCTAGTGCGAAACGCCCAAACCCACGATACTTGTTACAATTACGCAATGACCGTCATGGGACTCCACACAAATGCACCTGCTAAATTGGTGGCCTCTGCTGGCTTGGATGGCTGACTTGCGGCTTTGGTTTCGGCGCCTTCTCGACCACAGACTACGCTTTGATCATTACTGGTGCCTCTGCAATACCCTCGGTTGCGGCTGTTCCATCACGTGACCCTCACTACCCAGTTTCGATTGCGACACCCACATGCTCTGCTCTCCCCTCACCCTGTTTCTTCATGTGGTACGTTTTCCGACGACCCAGAAGAGTCCCTACAAACGCTGCATCAGTCCTTGCTATCAGTATCCGCCCGCAAAGCGCCTGCGCCTCCTCCTTTCGTCCATCACCATCCGGGTAGCCGACGGGAAACATCTACATTTGTGGTCCTGCCGCCCCCGCTGCTTCTCACTCTTGGCCATCTCCACAGATTTCTCGGAGCGTTCCCTTGGCACTCTGAATCAAGCTTCTTCCTTGCACTTGAACATCCGCAGTCGTATCTGGTTCTCAGATTGGTCAAGATGGCCGTTCAGCTACTATTGGAAAGCTATTGGAAATGACTTGTCATAATGTGGGCAAGATGCGAGTCTCATCAAGTCTTCACAGTGACAGCACAGTGTCCGAGTGAGCTTGCGCTAGTACTACTCACAACACGGACGCAAGATGAACAACGCCAATCTCATGAAACTAACAAACATTGTTCCTTTAGCTGTGAATGGACATTGGGACTGATTGAAAGTCCATAAAAAAAATCCTAGATGACCGGCGGAATATATTATACTACCAACAACCATCAATCATAATAAGCAAACGGACAAAGCAACCCCTCATAATGTCGATAACGCACGTTGTTTATTACCATTGTGGTCACCTTAGACTTATCCTAACTCACGAGCATGACGGAGACGAATGCCCCACTAACATGCCAGACACCATTACCACCCCAGAAAACTGCAACCGCTGCATGAACCCAAAGAGCGTCAACGACAATGACGGTAATAGCCGTGATGAATATTTTGGAAGTGATTTTTCGAACCCATCAGGAAGTTCAGATGACGCTACTGATTCTAACTACGATGGTGACGATGAAGATGACGAAGAAGGTGACGATGAGGGTGACGATGAGGGTGTCGACGAAATGCTAATCGACGAAATCATGTCCGACAACGGCAATGCTGTGCCGGCGCGTAGACTGATGAATGTAAATCCAGCAGAGGATTGCATGAACATAGACTAACGGACATGTCATGTTTCGGGGCATGGGGCGGATAAATGTTTAACTTGACGAAAAGTCCAAAACGGGGGCTGTGCAAAAGCGGCGTGCTAATGCCTTGCATACACAGTACGAAGCCGCGAGCGCTTTGATCGGTGAACTCCCAGAACAATGACGAGTTTCTCTCTCTGGTCTAGAAGGTCTAGAATGACTGGCACAACTACTGGCGACTTGGCGCAGCTATTCACGGTCCGAAGCAACCCAGCAAGTGTCGCCAAGACCAGAAAAACACCTGTTACGGTCAGCCTTTACGATATTGTCTTCTATGTCTCACAGTAAGCTTACTAAATTGTTTATAATGGTAGAGAATTGCGAATTGAATCAGTAGAACTTGTTTCGTGCATACTGTCACGTTATATCGTAGCTATCAATGAACTTTCATGTGTGTATTTCAGACTGCACAGTGATGCTTATTGATAATGTGTCAGCTCTCTCCATCTTCACTAGTTCACAAATGGGAGACTAGAGCTCGCAGGAATGCGAGGAGAGGCAGGTGTCGATGTCATTGCTATGTGCGTCTTCAGGAGTAATCTGAGCCTACTCTACCCCTTATCCCATACCATGATATTCACAAGCCATAGAGCATAAAACAGTATGCTTTCTCATCAAACCATTAAAAGGGAATCCTAAGGAAAAATCAAGACAACGGCAAAGTATGCATGAAGCTTGAGGACGACACGATGCCATAAAGACGGCTGGTATTGGATCGTACAACATGTGATGAGCTGAGTTCAACGTGAGACGAAGAGATATGATTTGAACTTTCTACGTTCGTGATAGTTCCTTCACCACACATTATCAATTTAAAAAATATACGCCTTTCAAAATCACCCATCCACTGCCAGTCTTCACGTGACTTGCCATCAAAAACGAGTCCGATGCACGGCCGCTTAGTGGCGGCAGCTACTACGTTATCGATAAGTAACGTTGGTTCCGACGGATGTTCCGACAACCTTCATCTCGGATGCCCACCTCCAACCCCCAGCAAGGCAAAAGAGCTCCCGCTGCCTCAAAACATACCACATCGAACTCGAGAATATGCAGGTATCTGAGGGAGCTCCAGCACATGGTGCGGTAGCGCATCTGCTACCGCAAACGTACAAGAGGCTCGTGTCGGAATGGCTCGAGGAGGACACGCCGAGTTTCGATTATGGCGGGTTCGTGGTCGGAGAGGAGGTGTCGGAGGCGAAGCTGCTGGGTAAGAGCGAGGTAAGTGATTCCCTCCTCTAGAAAATCATCTTGCTGACAAGAGAGTAGGGCATAGTAGCCGGCGTGCCATTTTTCGACGAAGTGTTCCGTCAACTAGGTTGCACGTGAGTCCTCCACTATCCAAAACACTCGGTACCAGGGATTGACACGATGTCAGTGTAGAATGGCATGTCAAAGAAGGCACATCCTTCCAGCCCATTACTCACTGCGCTACGGTCCGCGGCCCCGTTCGCCACCTTCTCCTTGGCGAGCGCGTAGCTCTCAACACGCTTGCCCGCTGCTCCGGTATCGCTACCAAGAGTCATCGCCTTCTGACCCTTTTGCGTGGCGCGGGATATCCCAATATTCTTGCTGGAACCCGCAAAACTACGCCGGGATTCCGCCTCGTGGAAAAGTATGGCATGCTGGTTGGTGGCGTGGACGCGCATCGTGTTGATCTTAGCGCCATGACGATGCTAAAGGACAACCACATTGTCGCTGCTGGAAGCATTACCAATGCTGTGAAAGCTGCCAAGGCTGCTGGCGGTTTCGCAATCAAAGTCGAAGTCGAATGTCAGTCCTTTGAAGAAGCAGATGAGGCGATTGCCGCGGGCGCTGATATTGTCATGTTGGACAACTTTACTCCTGAGGGGGTCCAGGTAGCTGCTAAGGACTTGAAAGATAAGTGGGGACGTGGCGTTGGCGATAGGAAGCAGTTCCTTGTCGAGGTTAGTGGGGGCCTGACGGAGCATAATGTCGAGAAGTATGTGTGTGGAGATATTGATATTGTGAGCACGAGCAGTATACACCAGGGAGTGCCGCATGTGGACTTTTCACTCAAGATTGTGCCAAAGAGCAAGAAGAGTGGTTGAAAAAACGCGGCAGTATAGGCTGGGCGTTTAGTGAGTGTTTCTTGGGGGACTGAGAAATCGCTGGCTGATGTACAAGTAGAATTAGTCAATATAACAGCGATATATCGATCTGATCAAAAGTTTCGAAATTCTCAATCATTATTGCCTTGTCAAAGCACCTACGGTTGCTGCTATGTCATCTCCTTACTGTCACTGATCACAAGCTCGTGATACTGTGTCGAGAACAGAAATCACTGTGCCACATTCACTGCTACAAAACGCCAATAAGACAATAGAAAGACACAGCTATTTTGAACCGTTAATGAGAACCAGGAAAACTCCTACATAATCGCATTACAATGCCCTTTCGTCTCCAATATCAACTAGTACAAATGTTTATTCGTTTCCCCTGCTAATCTGAACAGCAACATCGAAGCCAAAAGAGAACCCAATAACAGTAAAGAAACATCTAAACAGTCTCAACATCAAACATACAATCATGTCTTCTTCAAAGATCCTTACAACAGCCCTAACCATCCTCTCCCTCCCTCTCTTAACAACCGCACACCCCATGCCTACCCCCAACACCACCAATCCCACCACCTACACCCTCATCGACGACCTCAGTTCCAAGAACTTCTTCCCCTCCTTCTCCCTCTTCTCTTCTCCCGACCCCACCAACGGCTTCGTCCAATACCAAAACCTCTCCTCCGCCGCCTCCGCCTCCCTCCTCGGCTACCTCTCCCCCACCAACTCCATCTACCTGGGCGTAGACCACACCACCAAATCGACCTCTGGCCGCGCCTCCCTGCGCCTCGAGAGCAACAAAAGCTGGAATCGCGGGTTACTCGTCGCCGATATCCGACACATGCCTGCGTCGCAATGCGGAGTCTGGCCCGCGTTTTGGATGCTATCTGACTCGAAGGCCTGGCCGGAAGGCGGGGAGATTGATATTCTGGAGGGAGTGAACGAGGCGCGGGGGAATGCGGTGACGTTGCATACGTCGGCGGGGTGCGTGGTTGATAATAGCACTGGCGCTGGTGAGTTCACGGGGACAATGGTGACGGGGGATTGCGATGTTGATGCCTCCGGCCAGGGTAAAAATGCGGGATGCTCGATTCGTGCGCCAGAGAGCGGGAAGGCAAAGTCTCCGTCGTATGGGACGAGTTTTAATGAGGCGAAGGGTGGGGTGTATGCTATGGAGTGGATGGAATCGAGTATCTCGGTTTGGTTCTTTCCTCGCGATTCGCAGGGATATACAGAGTTTTTCTCGCAGGAGAATGCCACGGCTGTTGCGGCGCCGGATCCGTCTATTTGGGGTCCGCCGATGGCGCGGTTTAGTGGCTCAGGATGCGATTTCAGTGAGCGCTTTGTGGATATGAAGATTGTGTTTAACACTGCGTTTTGCGGTGAGTGGGCGGGGAAAGTGTGGGATGAGGAGTGTGCAGAGAGGACGGGAGTAGAGACTTGTGAAGAGTATGTCAGGGAGAATTCAGACGCCTTTCGCGAGGCGTACTGGGAGGTTGAGGGATTATGTTGGTTTCAGAAATCGTAGTTGTGCAGATCTATTAGTCCTTTCCTTTTCTCGTAACCTTTTTGTTCTCGAATTATCATATCTCCTGTGAGTAGAAAATTTTTGGCTATCATATATGTGGAGTGATTGATGTTTGTATGTATTCGAACTTTGCATTGGTCTCAGTAGTCATCTACCTTGTGTAAGGCCAGTCCCGAGGTGGCGAGACGCATGATGTTGTGCGACAGAGCAAGGATAATTCGACTTGAGGAGACGATGGTTCTTGACCCTTAGAAACCGGTTTTGATGAAGTTAAGCTAACATTCAGCCTTGTAGTTTGCGTGGCGCGAGGATTCATGCGGTCTCACCACCCTGGCTAGTACTTCTCTTGGGCAGCTTCTACATCTAATACGATTGAGCCCGCACTATGCTGTAATATGGTGTAAAGCGCTTATGCCAACGTTGTAGCGATGAGTAAAATCTGGCCGTCTCTATACCATGCGGTGCGGTCCCTACGAGACTCAATATAAACTGCAAAAACAGCACTATCGCGTGTACTTCATAAGAATACAATCCGTAGCTTCATGTTGGTATTTTAATTCCTTAAAACCGGTTTTACTGTTCCGCAGCTCTCTTTTGTTCTGTAGCCGCCCTCAGCCTTCCTCAGCCTCGTCAACAGCGCTACTTCACCCCACCATGTGATACAAATTTGCGGCACAGCTTCCAATGCATGATAAACTGGTACGTCGCTGTTGGCTAGACTGGTGTAGGGTGGCTGATGCCTTGACCGATCGTTGATTGTTGTATTCTGATACGGTCGGTTGAGTAGACAGCCGAGCAGTTAAGATGACCAACATGTTCTGTCGATTGTAAAGATTGGTGGAAACGTAGAGAGCTAGTATGAGGTATACTTCCATACCAGACCGGAAGTGAAGGGAAATACATCCTTCATGTATGTGCAGGCTGAGTAAGGCGGCGCGGTGAAAGGGTACTTATATCCAACTCTCCATTTTCCAAGCACCTCACCTAGGCCCACGACTTACTGTGGATCTCCATTTTTGCTTTGGCGGATTTTTTCCTAGTATAACGATACACCTCCTCCTTCTAACTGAGCGGGCTTTGAGGGCTTTGAGGAAAAATATTAGCATACAATTGCGGCATAGACACGATTACCTGACCGCAACTCAAGGCATCACAAAACCTGTGAGATGGAGTCCGCACAGATTAATAGCGAGACAGAACAACTTGGAGATGAAGGCAAGTTCCCTGCAGCCTAGATATATGATCTATCAACCCCTCAATACTAATGATTTGATGTATCAGGCCCGCGAGCTGTGCTGCTCATAACCACTCCAGTGGGTGAATCTTTCCGATCAATTGCTCGAGCAATGGGACACCAGCCACCTCCAAGTCCTCCAGTCGATTGGTCAAGCTTCAAAAACAGTGCTTTGCCAAATCTGGAATCCAGGCTGAAGTTCACAACGCACTACGCTCTGTGCGTTATAGACTGCGATCATTGGGACAATCCTAGCCTAAGTCTACTCGATAAATTCAGGGGCGCAAAATTCTGGGATCACCCGGGAGATAGAACAATACTCGCATCTTCACAAAGCAGCAGGAGCAATAGAAGCATGAAGATGCCGGGTTTGAATGCATGCATCACCTGGAACGATGCCGACATCTTTGAAATAGAAAGTGGAGAAGAAATTGGACGGACAGACATGTCAGATGACGAAATAACGCAAGGTTGGTTATGACTAGGACGAGGTCATGTAGTCTGGAAGCTGATTCAGGACACACAGTGTACACGGAACTCAGAAGAGACTGGACGTACATGCCTATCTTCTGGAACTGCCACGATCTTGCAATCCGCCTTGCTTATATCATTATTCCGCCATCCATAGATTTGATCAGCGCTCTCAAGAGGTTAATGTTTCTGCTTCGGCAGGCCTACCACAGAGAAATCGACTGGTATGGAAAAGCGCATAAGACGTGCCTGAGCGGGTGGGGAGCAGCAGCAGTAGGTAGCTTGGTCACTGTGCCGCCGCTTGCCATCGCTGGTGTGTGCGTTTTCGTAGCTGGATGGTCTGTAGGCTTTTTTGGGACGATGGTACATGGCTCGAAATCATCGACAAGGGAAACATTCATGACCAAGTTGGAGGAAAGGTTCCCTCAGCTTAAACCAATTCATCGTTGAGCAGCCTGGTTTTGGTATCTCTTCTTGTAGCGTTACTATAGGAATATTCATATTTCGTGCCGTATTATCCTGTAGGTAAAGGTTCATTCAACTTTTTTTTGCATGTTCATCAGAGCTTTAGCCCTTTCGTCCTAGATCTTAGGCCATCTTCAAAATGAGTCTTTCAGTTTTGGTCGAATGATATACCACCATAGTAGTATGAGTTACTGGAAGATCGTTGCAGCTAGCCAGGTGGGCAACTGACCTGCTAGAATCACATTCTTGTAGCTTCGCAGGGAATGACGGCAATTCAAAGAACTTTTCCCGCGCGATTGCGGAAGACAAAGGGGCCGCGTGACGATCGCAACTCCAGGCGACCAGGCTTTTGTCAGCATCATGGCCCGATCTGAATGGTGTGGCTGGGCAGAAGCACTGAGCCGATGCCAAATAACCTTCAATCACAAAATTGCGAACTCCACCAGATCTCTTTTGCTCTCATGGCTTTTCTCAAACGCCTCCCCCTCCATGTAGCCATGAAGATAACTGGACGAAGGAAAAAGTAAGCAGATTGAAACACGCAGAAAAGGGGAAGATATGGCTTACCATTCACCAATAAGCTCGTAAGTCTTACGATCCATCCTCGCATGTATAGCACGGATACACAGAAGGACTTGTCCGCCAGGGAAAGCGCAGATCAGATCACCGTCTTGAACAGGTAGGTCGACTATACCCAACGAGTTGTTTTCTGTAACAACCAATGCTCGTCCACAAAGAGCAGTGAAGAGCGCATCGTTATAAGACTTGGCGACACTATCGATACCCGTAATAGAATTGCTTTGCTTGTGCTGACCATGCCTCCCAGAGTGTATCAGCCTGATGCTCACTTAGGGTAGTAACTAAACCCCGGGGTCCATTGAAGCGAATTCTCGAAGCGACGACGGTTCTCCGGAACATGTCCAGCCTAGTGGCTTCATCTAAGCCGATATTGTCCCATTTACGTAGTCTCTCTTGCAACAAGTGTAACGTGTCATACACGGATGTGCGCTTATAGAATTTCTTGTCCGGAAACCTTTCTAGAACTTGTACGCGAGCAATTGGCACACCAACAAGTGTTAAAACACCTTTCCTGATTACAACTTGCGCTCCTTCTAATGAACCACAGGCTTTATATCCATTGCGCCAAAGTAAAATCCTCTTTCCTCGCCGTATTGTCCAATCGGGACACCAGCTTGGTAACATCAGTTGAGACCGAACATTCCGGTTGTGGTGTGATAGAATCTCCAGTGTTCCCGAGTATTCAATGGCGGTCTTCACAACCGCTTGGTAAAGGTTCTGGACAGACTGTGCATAGTTTGGAGCCAACTCGGGTGTCTGGCCTATGAGTTTGTACACACTAAAAATCTTATCCCGTGGGTCTAACGACTGTGATCCTCTGAACTTGTAGAGTATATCTACAGCTTGTTTGCATGACTGCAAACCTTCTTGATATTCTTCTCGCGTGGACCAAAGGTGAAGTATCGATGTAGGCGCGACATGTCGGATTAGGTAGGCTTGTTCTTGTGGAACTGTGCCCTTGAATCGATACTCTCTAAGAAGACTGATTGCTTTGGAAAACTCCTCGCCTTGTAAAATATGTGTGCCACATAGGAACTGGATATTCGTTGCAACAACATATTCCTGAATAATCCATGCGCGACCCCACCATTGTCTTTGCATTAGTTTCAAGAGGGCGTCCCAAGATGATGCTAGGTTATGATCGCCCACCATTTTCGCCACTGCATCGAGATCACCTGGCTGTAGTGCCGAGATCATGTATAAGAGATGCAATGCTCGGTCGCTGTCATCTGATTCATCGCCCAGAAATATCAGAGACTTCTGACAAAAGGTAAAGACCGCCCACATACGCGGGACTTGGACGCTTTTCTCCTCCGTGCTCGTTTGATCAATACAAAGCGCGTCGACCCACAAGAGTCTGGCTGATGTCTTGTAACGGAGACACCGTAATGCGCATTGGAGATTCCGAGTAACAAGCACAGGTCGGCCATCAAGGATAACGATTTCTGTCGTAGCGGGTGCGCCCCAGACATAAGAAAGGGCTTCATAGGCCCCCAAACTATCCCCAATTGTCGAAACCGATAGACTGCATTCAATTGTAGCATCTAGATCGCCTGGCAAGAGTAGGAGAAGGCGAATTCCCCAGCCTAAATGCTCATCAACCCCAGAACCCGATGCTGCTGCATCCTGGAGTGGGTGATATAGGTGGGTAGGCGACTCTGGCGCATCCGTGAAGTCCGTCATGTGTACTATATGGGAAACTTGATTGGGTTGCTGAAATACAAGAAGCGTACGCCCAGTGACGTTCTGCAACTAAACAGAAAGGATTGTCCAGCCTCATAAGTTGCTGTATCTTATCCCTGAAAGCTAATCATTCAGAGCAGTGTGTGAGCACATGACCAATTAGTTAACAGCCTTGCAGCGATGTGGTGGAGTACCACAAGAAAAGGACGTAAATAAGGGTATAAGCGTGATTGTAGTGTGCAGAAACGCGATGTGCGAGTCGTGGGCAGAGCCTCAATCCATCTTTAAGTAGCGGTTACAATGTAGCAAGGTGATGAAGCGAACATTTCATGGGCCTGGAACGGGATCGATGAAATTATATAGAGGGGCATGAAAATAGATCGACGCATCGCTAAATGACTATTTCTCCACGCTCTACCATGCAAAGCCGTCGCAATTGGCCGGATTCCATATGCGCATGCTGCAATGAATTGTGTTTGAGGCCATCTGCATATGTGGCGTTTGTTGCGGCTTTAGCTGCATGTTACGGTCGGTCTTCAGTGGTGAGGTTTCGTGCATGAAGAAAGGCTATTTGATCAGCTCTTTGCAGGAGCAGCCGAAGGAAAAGCGTGCGGCGCAGGCGCACCTTACATCTGCAACTCCATCCAGCACCATTAGCCATACTGTAACTACCTGCGCTTATAAGCTCGCTTGTAAGATCTGTTCCTCACCCCTCCTACATCTGCATAGTATCATCATCTACCCAACGAAGTTCAACAGCCCTCGAGGTATAGCGGCCTAAACACCACCTGCTAAAATGCTCGCTGACTGGTACGCACCAATCTGTTAAACACGGTATACTTTTGTCAGCGTAACACAGATAAGTTTCTCAAGAGAGTTCTCGAGTACACATGCATTCTGCTGACTACTACAAATTTAGTCATGTCGTCCTCTCGACCAGGCGTCTCCCACGAACGAGCGATAACAGTCAACCTAGAGCCACGAAGAACGCGTCTTCGAAAGACTCGCTCACTCGACTTCAACACCGCCGAAATCGTTCGAGTCACTCGCCGGTAAACCTGAAGTGCTACCCGTCAAGGCATGAGACTTAACGCCATTTCGAATTCGACGAACAGAACACGCCCGAGTCAACTCCGGGACTTGCTCCACGCCCAACACACCTTCTCCAATACTGCTAGATCAAAAACTACTATAGATTGATACTAGCCGTTCATATCGCGTCGGATCTCCCGCTCTGATCTCCCCACCCTTCGACGTGATACCAGTCAGTCCACGCAATACCATACCACAGTGGGAGAATGCTAAATTATGGGTTCAAAAAGCTTCGATGCCTACTCGAGACGACAGAGCTAGAACAGATTGTCATTGTGATCATTGATAGGAAAGCCGTCTTTAGGTTCTCTGTAGACCCCATAATTGGACGTACTTTGGCGTAGTTGCCACACTTCGGCTTGAGAAGACCTATCGTCACAACTTCATCTTTCCACGCATCAGGTGCCTTGCTAGAACTACTATCTAGCGTGGGGGCTTTTTGCGGTTCCTTATTGTAGATATGTGGCGTTGGGTTACAGAAGCATGTGAATGCGAACATGCTTTGTGAAGGACATTTGGGAGAGGGGGTCAAGTTCGGATGCGTCGAAGCCTATGTGTTGGCTAGGGTTGTCGATAGTATCAAGCCACATGAGAAGGTGGATATGCTCAACCATAGTAATGACGCCCCAGGGCTATCGAATCTTACCAAGACCCATCATGTTCCCATAGATAAAGCCATTGTGAGCGTTCCATCGCCTTTCCCTTGCTCTATGTAATCGCATCGCATCGCATCTCATGAACTACACATTGTATTAGTATGGAAAAAAATGTCTTGAGATGTCGTGTACCATGTCCGCAACTTATGTGGCTGATGTTCTCGCTCCTCTTTCTGCTCGCATTGCTAGTGCCTCTCAGTAGAATCAAGCCTACAGTGATATAACATGTTGTGAGTGGTTACGTACGGAGAACTATGATACCACATATTGGTGTCAGCAGCCTCGAAATCTATCTATTCAAATCATGATACCAGTCCTGTCTCGGACGATCCTTTAACAGCCATCTCACCATCCAACTCTGATCCCGGTCCGCTCCGTCATCATTGAAACTTGCCAGCCATGCCCTGAAGACCATGGGCATTAGCTTTTTTTTCCCAAAACCTTACTACCCATGAACATCTCACCAGTCGCAAATAAATGCAACGCGACAAGCACAATGTCCAGCTTGGACAGCCCTAAGTGCTTTTGCGTCGAAACAGCATATACTGTGCTAGTATCATTGATTCCCAGAATAACCAAATCCAGAGTTTTATCATTACTACTCCGATATTTTCAAGGGACCCCAGAATCAGAATTAGTATCGCCGCTGCTCGTGAAGATATAGCAAGTTCGTTGAAGCGCTTAGCGAGTATGACAATAAGCATGATCAACCCAGCAACCTTCACTAGCTTGGCGCTGTCCAAGAGAAAGGCAACCCCTATATCTTCAGGTCGAGTTCTTGTTCGAGTCTTCAGAGGTAGCTGCATTGATGGAGGTTTCTTGCTTGGTTTTCAGCCAGTGCATTCTGAAGCGTCTTCATAAACAGGAAGAAACTTAGTGCAAACGATGCGGATTCTTCTGGCCAATCAAAGTACTAAGCAAATATCGCTTCTTCACTTCGCCCGACCGCATTAGCAAGTTCCTGTTATCCTCTGCATCGTATCCATATTTAGATGCTCTTTATAAGCAAAATACCGATGTCTCACGGTGGTAAACGGGTAGAGGTAGAGGTATGGTAGGGTTGCCAAGAATGGGATAGAGGTAGAGGTAGGGTCTTATGTAATCTCTACCCTACTACCATACTGTGTCCGTGCGCGGAATGCGCGGATTCGCGCAATGCGCCGAACCACCAAAAACAGCTCCACCAAAATTGAGGCTGCCGCACCACGTACAGTAGTAATTATCATGTAAGAAAACACAGAAATACTCTACTAGGTCCTAGTATCATATTTCTGCCTCAAATTTTCTGCGAGGAGCGATTTTGCGGCCACGGGAGTTGTATACAGGTGGAGGTGTTGGAGAACGCTCATGTGCAACCACACGACTA